ATTTACACCTCTATCTAGGAACTCTGATAAGGAGGAAATGTATGTTATCACATCCTTAGCAGATGTGTCTCACCAGGAGGACTCTTTGAAGTTAGGATGGATTTTCTCCATATATCCTGTACCCTCAGAAAAATAAACTGAGTCAGTTCTGCTGCTGCACCTGGCCAACTTTATTTCACGCCTTTCCGTTCGGTGTACTATCTGGTTGCGGGCAACAAGGGAATCCTAGCTGAGGTCTGAGAGAGGAAGAAGACATAGTCATGGCTAACTTCAAGGTTATGAATCTAAATTACTGGGAATGTCATGATATCCTTACTAGAAACAAGCAAGTTTGTAGAAGGGGTTGAAGTTTAAAGGGAAAAATTATGAGTTCTGTTTATACAAGTTGAGTTTTATATTAGTATATTAAATGTGGTCCTGGCAACAGACCATATCCAGATGCACAGTCAGCTGGCCATGTATTGACAAACTCTTGTATCATGGAAATCCATGAAACAAAGGAAAATATAGAATGGCCTTTAGCCCTATGTGTTCTCTTTCCATTTCTGCAGAGATGGTGAGAGAGCAGAAGAAACATGGGCAAACATACTAAGAATCACATTATTTGGGGGCCATCTAAAATATTACCATAACTTGTCAGTTAGTGAATAAACATTTATGAAGTACCATTCATTAAGTTCCAGACATTGTGCTAAGCACTGGGGACACAAATAGGAAAAAGAATGATGACCCCTGCCTCAAGGAGCCTTTCGATCTAATGAGGGAAGATAACACACAAAAAAGAAGCTGAGAAGTTGGGGAGGGAGAAATTAATGGGCCAAGATGGAGAAGTCCAAAGGAGGGCAGCAGTCAGGTGGGAAACAATGAGATGGCTGGCCTGAGTGCCCTCCTTGAAGGAAGGCTTTGAGAGGAGCTCTTTCATCTACTCTCCAATCCAAGGGGTCCCAGAACAAGACGGTACTGATGAGGTAATGAAGCATGAATGCCAAGGCCAATGCAGTCTTGGAGGATGATGAGATTCCTGGAGGCCATGATGGAGTACTCTGAATGCCAGGTCTACATGAACAGAAATACTCCCAGAGGAATGGAATCAGACACATGTTATGCTGGAATAGAGCAGGCTGGTGGAGGATCAGGAGTTTGACAGGCCCAGAGGAGCCCATCCTTCATTTGTAAACACCTGAGAGAGCCTTAGCAACTTTCATTTTCCCTATGCTCACTAGGCATTCAAAATCTAGTCAGCTGTAACTTCTATCCTTTAATAAACACTCCTTGAATATATGTACAGTGTGTATTGAGTTGTTCTCTGAGCTGTTGGTAACACGGGGATAACTATTCTCAGAGGGCACTTGGTGGGGAATGGGCAAGAAAGTCCATTCTAAGTAAAAACCAGAGGAAAAAAGCAAGTTGTGGCTCAGGGGAAGGATAGCTCACAGGCTCTCCTTGGAAAGGGAAGTACAGGGATTGGTAGAGTTGGTTTTAGTGTGAGTCAAAAGTCAAAAGAAACATTTCATGGGACATTTTGATATCTTTCTTCCCACATTAAATATTTGTTTAAAAAAAAAGAAAAAGACCATCATGAAGAAATATATCAGCATTGTTGTCAAAGAGTGAAACTCTATGAAGAGCCTGATAGAATCCTCCAGATTGAGTTGATATGGACTTTAATTTCTTCAAACAGAAAAGTACATATAGATGATGGTGCAAAATAGTTTAGAAAACATGGTTCAGGTGTTTAAAAATGAGAGGTCCAAACCTTGTAGAATAAACAGAAGCCTCACAAATGAATGAATCAAAAAAACAACATGTATTAAGTACTTAGAAGTACCAAGACTTTTTATAAGAGCTGGGGATACACAAAAGCAAAGGTAGTCCCAGCCTACAATGACCTTCCATCCCAACGGGGGAGACAACACACAAAGGTTAGTGGTTGTCTCCAAGCGGCACCTTGTTAAAAGTTTGATGAGTGGGACTACAGAGAGACTAAGATCTCACTTTCAGAAATAATGATAGAATTGATTTGATCTTGATTCATGGTTCCGGAACTTCAAGGAATGGGGGAAGGGGTGAGGCAGGATAGAAGAGGGAAGATGAGGGAAATTAAGGATACCCACAAGGAGAGCCAGAGAGGAGTGAGTGAAGTAAATAGCATTCGGTATCATTTTGTTGCGTTTTTTCTATTTGCATTTTTTTTTGTTTACAAAAGAATATTTACTTCAGAAGGTAGGATCACAATACACAAATTTATTCCTCAAACAGAGGTGGGTACCCTTCCCACTGCAATATATTCCCACTGCAGTTACATTACTTGAGAGTAAGGGGAAATAGAATTAATCACTTACAAACAGTAGGGAAATAACAGATGTCCCTGAATTGAATTGAATTCTGCCTTTGAGAAACCCAGAATTCTGGGGAAGAGGTTAGGTTCAGACCTTAGCTCGGTTCCCATTCAGCACAGTCATAGTTTCAAGTCCAAAATTCCTGCTTTGTACTCAAGTCCCAGACACCCTGGTTTCTCAGGATTTCCATTGCAGGCTCGCTTGCTGCACTATCCTAGGAGTCTGTAATCCTGGCTCCAAAGTCATCATGGCTCAAACTCCCAGCCCATTTAGAATCACATCCACTACCTAGACCTGAGGACAAATGACATAGAACAGAAACAGATAGCTCCAGGCCAATTTCTCAGAGGTAGGTGAAAGAGGGAGAAGGAAAAGGAAAATCCTTCCCCTCATACCAGTCCAGTTCATGGGCACAGTAGACAAAAGCTGGCTAAAAGAGCACAGCAGAAAGACAGTGGAGGAAAAGAACATAGTTGAATAGTGAATGGCTCAGTCTTGCCAATTTTAAAGACATAGCCCATGTGGCAAGGTTTCATGTTGTAAGAAAGGTTTTAGGGGGCTGGGCTTCCACAGCAGGATAAGGAATTCCAAGATCTTGTGGGTAGTCCCTCAACCAGTCAGAAAGTGTATCAAACGTTCTGGAAATAACTATCTCCTTAAGAAAGAGCCCTGGAGACTAAATTGGTTGCAACCCATTGGGGTCAAGGATGGGCCTCGACAGGGCAAAGGCTTTTCTCCACTTCACTTGCTTAATAAGCTTATTAAATATTAACTGGCACACCCTGAGGGCAGAGATAGCCACCATTTTTGAACATGGGACCCATGAAGTAGGTGGAGTTAACAGAGCATGGAAGAACATGTGATGGGCTGTCCAGAAAGAGTGTAACTCAGATGAACTAGAGCAATCATAGCCCTGGTGGGTGGGGTAAAGATCTTACTGTTTAAAAGTTGATTGTACCACTGAACCAGTGCCCACGTGCTACTAAAGTGCATTGTGCCCGTTTCTCTCGAGAGAAGTGTAATAAAAGCTTTCCTTCACTTACTCCTGTAGTAGATTTTTGTTTCAGATTTTTCTAACAATGTTAAGCAAACTGAGCATCTCAAAAGACCCCTCAAGGGTGTCTCCAAGTTAGGAGAATGGATCATGCCCAGAGAAGTCCAGGTTGTACATTTCTTCCTGTTTGAAATTTGCTGTCTCCAGCAAATGGGCAGAGGTCACACACACACAAAAAATTTTCCTGGTCCTCATCCTATATTTGGAACAGTTCTCTATGATCCCTGAAGAAGCAAAAGTAACATCCTTTTACTTGCTTCCCAGTGCTATATAGTCAAGTCTCAAATATAGTATGCTATCTCACATGTGGGAGGTGAAAAATTGTTTACAATTTTTAACCATCTAACATTTTTTTCTTTTAAGTTTCAAATTTTTTCCCTCCTTCCATCCTCTCCTCCACCATTGGAAAGGCAAGAAATATGATTCAAACATTTCTAGATTAGCCACTTTGAAAAAAATAAGTCAAGAAAAAATATGCTTCAATCTACACTCAGATTTCATCAGTTCTCTCTCTGGTGCTAGAAAGCATTTTTCATAATGAGCCCTCTGGGGGCAGCTATGTGGCCCAGGGGATAGAGCACCAGCCCTGGAGTCAGGAGGACCTGAATTCAAATCCGGCCTCAGACACATAATACTTACTAGCTGTGTGACTCTGGGCAAGTCACTTAACCCCAGTTGCCTCACTAAAAATAAATAAATAAACAAACAAACAAATGAATGAATGAATGAATGAATAAGTAAGCAAGTAAATGAATGAATGAATGAATGAATGAATAAGTAAATAAATAAATAAGACAAAAAGCCATAATAAGTCCTCTGGCATTATTATTGTGAATCATTGTATTGCTCAGAGTAGCCACGTCTTTTACAACTGATTATAATTACAATATTGCTGTTACTATATACTGTTCTTTATAAAACTTTCTCAACCCACAAACAGAAGACAGTGCAAAACCAAAGAAAATTAGCTTCTGTCTCCAACAGAAACTGGGTGCAGACTGAGCTTTCCAAAGTATATAGAACTGGGGCAGTGAGGTGGTGCAGTAGATAGAGTACTATCCTTGAAGTCGGGAGGACCTGAGTTCAAATCCAGCCTCAAATCAAACACTCGACACTTACTAGCTGTGTGACCCTGGGCAAGTCACTTAACCCCAATTGCCTAAAAAGAAGAAAAAAAAAGACAGAGAAAAAAACCCCAAGAACATGGAACTCTCCACACAGAAATTTGGGACATGGGGGCAACTTGTTGTCACCCCTTTCACAAATGAGAGAATTATCCTGGGTGGAAACTTTTCCACTGATTCTCTCAGTGCATTCAGACCATCCAGTTGGAGTCTACACAGAAAATGTTCTTTTCTTCAAAGAGCACACCAAAACCAGTGTCCCTTTTTACACAGGGCACACCCTCAAGCATAGGCGATCCTCATAGAGGTCCAGGCAATTTCCTCTGCATTTGGCAACCCAAATTCCCCCAGGGATCCTTGCCACAGCAAGGATAAACCAAATGGCACTGGAAACTTATCCATCAGGACAAGATCAGATAGAAAAGGATCCAATTTTCACCAAACAAGGCCCCACACGTAACACAGTGGTGCTCCTAGAAAAGAATCTTTACTTCAGAAAGCATAATCACAAATAGACAAACTTACTTCCCCAAAGTGGGGGAGGCATCATCCCCCTCCCCTGTTGCACAGCCTTAGTCTCTGGGAAGGAGAAGAGGATTCGGTTCACGCCTTAGTTCAGTTCCCATAGAATACAGTCCCAGTTCTATGTCCACAAAGCACCTCGGGCCTGGGCCCCAGGTACCCTGGCTTGTCAGGGCTTCTGTGTCAGGCCGGCTGGCTGTACCACCCCACCTGCAATCCAGGCTCCGAGATCATCCTGACTCAAGCGACCCAGCCCAGGGGAAATCACCTCCTACAGCCGAAACTGAAGACAAATAACACAAACAGAAACAAACGCCCCTGGGCCCATTTCTCAGAGCCAGGATAAAAAGAGGGGCAACAGGGGGAGTTCTTCTCTCCCCGGTTCAGTTCACGCATCCACGATGGGCTTCACAGATGAGAATCCCCCGAAAAGAGCCCAGCATAAAGTGTGGTGAAAAAGAGAAAAGCCGGACTTCCCTTTACACTGTTGGAGTCATCGTGTTTCTTCTGGCTCTGCTTGCTGCAGGCTGAGATGGGGCATAGACATCTCCTTGTCCTTTTCTGAATTTTTCATAGTTATTGTTTTTCCAGCGCAGTAAAGTTACATTATTTTCATGTACCACAAGTCGTTTCCCAGGGCAAAGCTATGAGCCCTATGAAGGGAGGGGCTGGCACAGGGACCCACACTCCCTCACTTTACCCTGCCTCACCAAGCTGACAGAGCCGTTACGATGGGGCTTACTGCTATTATCTGCCCAGCTAGATGGAGCATAATAGGGAAAGGGAGCATGTGGGCCCCTATGCCGGACCCTCACACTGAGGGGCAGGCACCATTAGTTGTCAGGAAGTCTGGCCATATCTGCAGTAACTGTTGGGGCTGGAAGCGATGAACCAGGACAACTCCATAGAAGGCACAATGGTCATACTTCCTCCTGAACATCAGGAAGGTGTTGGGGGGAGGAGGTGTGGGCTTCACTCCAAGCTGTTTCAGGCACAACCCCACAAACACATCCTCCAAGTAGATGACTTTGATTCTCTGAGCTACAGTGAGGATCCTGAGGGCCAGGGGGCCAGACATCACATAGCCAGGGCCTCCACAGTAGTCTGGATACTTGTCCTGGGAATACAACTCTCGGGGCACATACCACTTGTGACCCCGTCTCCGCAAGGGGCCTGTGTTTCTGTAGATGTGGCCTGTGATAAAATCTCGCTGTGGGGGTCCATTGGGCCGCAACACTTGCTGGACCAGGTAGCTGGGGTTTAGGAAGACATCACTATCCACCTTGAGCACACAGTGGGCAGTGGGACAGTACTGGGCCATCCATTCCAGCCCCATGAGGACCTTGAGAGTCAAGTTGCGGTATGTATCCAGGAAGCCCACCTGGAGGAGATCCCCATGCTCCCTGTCCTCCTCCTCCATGAGGGCCTGAAGTTCCTCAGCAAAGAGGGGTTGGGGCAGGCCAAGAACAAAGAGGCAGTGGATGACCACACCAGGAATCAAAGTCTCATTGCCCCATGTTTGCCGGATGGCATGGCGTATCCCCACGTCCTGGGGCCGAGTCATCACCAGAATGAGCAGGACAGAGGGTACCTCAGGTCCAAAGGGTGAATCGGCAACTCTAATTTCTTTGAAAAGATCTTTGGGGATGGGGGCCTCAGAGGGTCTGGAACTGTCCAAGAAGCTAGCAGTAACAACACCAACAACCCCGCAAAGACTGTGCTCAGCAGAGCCCCCAGTATCAGGTTCCATTCCATCAGCTTCATGGTGCCAAGTTTATTTTAGGTACGGAGAAATGAGAGGTCAGGTCAGTGCTGAGTCGAGTTACATGTCGACCCTGTCTCGTGCACAGGTTTCTCTCCTTTTGTGGAGGAACTATTTCCTGGTGTAGAGGACCCAGAATTTGTTTATCTGGGGGCACTGGGAGAAACAAAGGTAGGGGAATAAGGAAGGAGGCTCCACACTATCCACCCCAGTTTCTGCCAGGCCAGTTGACAACATGGCACTGAGGGAGCCAAAGCTGAGGGGGCAGGGGAGAGGGGCTGGGGACAGGGCACCAGGCAGGGAGAAGAGCCTAAAACTGGGAGTCAGGAGCCCTAAGTTCTAGGCTCAGTTCTGACACTGACTTACCTTGGACAGGTCTCTCCTCTTGGGGTTTCAGGGGGTCCTTTTCTGTGAAATGAGGAAAGGTCAACTGAAGAATTTTGAAAGTTCCCTGTCTCTGAAGGTCTATGTTTTTTAAGACAGAAGGATTACGATCTGGAGGGGCCCCAGAGTGCCTGTCCATGGACTGTCATCCCTGATTGTGCAAGGAGTTATTAGACAAAGAAGGTCAGGAGGTGTCCCTGACAACCCTCTGGGGACAGAAATGTGAAGGCAGGAATTATTGGTGGAATTTGCCCAAGTTTCCTATAAGCAAACCTGCTTGAATTCTCCCCATTCCCATGTGCACCTCTACCCTCCTTGTCCTGGCCCCAAATGAGCGATCTTAGCTCTGGAGCAAGTGAGATATGGACCCAGAGTTCTACCTGTTCCCTGATGAGGCTCCAGACCCAGCCTCAGTGTCCCTGGCAGGGAGCCAGATTGCTGTGTTACTGCTCTGAGAAGGCTAGGATAGGAGAAGGTCCCTGCTACAGACCCCTGGCTCCTAGCCCCAACCAAAGCTCCAGAATCTCACTTTAGCTACAGAGTAATGGGAAATAAACTCAGTCACTCGCAAACAGCAAAGTCATAACAGATATCCCTAAAATGCATTGAATTTTGCCCTTGAGAAACCCGGAGTTTGGGCTTGGGAGTGAACTCCCAGCTCATCCCCCCCATCCCAGCTTTCCTCCCTTGTGCCCCCTCTCCTCTAGCCACCAAGAATACTTACATAACTCTGCTGTGGCCAGGTTCTAGGTTGCAGAGGCAGCACGACGCAACTCAGAGGGGACTTCCAGACTCAGGCCCAGGCAGGTAAGGCTATGGGAAGATTGTAGAGGTGGAAACGGAAAAGCACTGACTTGCCCCTGAGCTCCCTTGGATGTGTGGGGAGGAGCAGATCCCAGAGAAAGCAATGGCCAATCTCTTCCTGCCTGCAAACCTGCAGATTGGAACCTAGGGGCAGGGTCCATCAGGTGATAGCCCCTGAACCCAGGCACTCTGGCTTTGAGTCAAAGCTGCCCCTGGTGAGGTGGAAGGGGGGAGGAGGGGCGTACGTGCATCGGAGTTGCATCTGGTTAGCCATGACAAAACAGTAGGTGAGCTGGAGGAAGTACTCCCTGAAAATAATGCTGTTGTTTTTCATCTTAAGGTTTGTAAATTTCTTTAATGTATTATCCCCTTTGAAGTACTATTGGGCATCAATCTAATAACAACGGAGGCTCATAGAATAGTTAAGTGACTTGCTCATGATTGCACAGCTAGTAAGGTTTTGACAGAGGCAGGATTTGAATCCATATCTTACCTGAATCCAAGTCCAGCCAGCACTCCATCCACTCTGCCATATTGCCTCTCTTAAGAACCAAGGTGATCACTTCCAGGAACCAAGATGGTAGAGTCAGCAGTAAGTTGCTCTCACTCTCTCTTATTGACCTTGAAAAACTCAGAAAATACCGCCCCAGGAAAAATACTGGAACAGTGAAGCAGGCAAGTGTCAACACCATGACCCTCTCCACCTCCCCCCCCACCCCCGCACAGCCAGGGGAACTGGCAGACCCCAGCACAGAGAACCATTAATTGTGCAGTAGACAAGTGTCCACCAGCAGCTGAGCCTACCCATGCTCTAGCATAGCCCCAGGTGAGGAGGTGACTTCCAGCAGCCAGACCACCCCCACTCCTACACCCCACCCCTTGAGCTTCGGTGTAACCCTGGAGAAATGCAGAAAAATCCCACCTGGCCTCTTCACACACCAGCCACCGCCACCAGCTCCAGCTTAGCACTAGGTAAGCTACAGCCTTTACAGCCTCCATCTGCCAGAACCTGAGGACCCAGCACACAAAGCCAGTCACCGGGCCCCTAGCCCCCAGCACAAGAAGGTCGGGACAGTGCCCCTGTGCCCCAGAAGCAGAGATCAACTTTAAAAGCCAGGAAAACGGCAAACACCATGAGCAAAAAGCAACAAAGAAAAACGAAGACCATAGAGTCTTATTATGGGGACAGGGAAGATCAAAACACAAATTCAGAAGAGGACAATATTGCCAATTTACCCACATCTGGAGGGGTAGAGCCAAGATGGCAGAGTAAAAGCAGTGACTTGCTTGAGCTCTCCCCCAAACCCCTCCAAATACCTATAAAACATGGCTCTAAACAAATTCTAAAGCAGCAGAACCCACAAAAAGATAGAGTGAAACAAATTTCCAGCCCAAGACAACCTGGATGGTTGATCACTAAGGTATATCGCACCAGGATGGGAGAGGAACGCAGTTCAATGTGGCGCGCAGGCTGCAGCAAACCTGGAGCAGGCTTACAGGACTGAATCACAGGCAGCTGCAATGGTTTCCAGACTTTTCAACCCATGAATGCCAAAGACAACTTAGAAGATCAGTGGGAAAAGTCTGTGTCTGCAGTGAGAGAGAAGAACGGTGGTCTCAGCTCCAGTCACTGAGCTCGGCCCCAAGGCGGCAGCTGCTTCCTGAGCTTCCGGCCCACAGACTGAGGGGGAACTGAGTGGTTGATCAGAGGGGCATTGCAGAGCTCTCTTTGTTGAGGAAGGATTCTCTTGCTTTGCCCATGCTTGGATCTGGGTCACAGTTCTGGGTGGCAGTCCTGGGGCTAGGAGGAGCACTGGTGCAGTGAAGCTTGTAGTGGTGGTAGAGAGAAAATCCTCCTCACAGTTCTAAGAAAGAAAAGAGTGCTTGTGGTCACTCACAGACCAGAGCACTCACCCTTCATCACAGCACTTTGGAAGAACTGAAAATTTACAGGTCCCTAGAAGTATTTCTGAAAGCAGCTGCACAAAACCCCTGAAGCTTGGAACAGTACATTCTCCACATTGGAAACAGACCCCTACCTTAACAGAGAGTTTAAAACTCAAGTAATTGGTCAGGATCATGAGCAAGTAGCGCAAAAAGAGTCAGACTATATTATCTTACTTTGGTGAAAAAGAAGATCAAAATATGCAACCAGAAGAAGACAACAAAGCCAAAGCTCCTACATCCAAAGCCTCCAAGAAAAATATGAATTAGTCCCAGGCCATGGTAGAGCTCAAAAAGGATTTTGAGAAGTAAGTAAAAGAAGTAGAGGAAAAACTGAGAGTGATGCAAGAAAATCATGAAAAACAAGTCAATGGTTTGCTAAAGGAGACCCAAAAAAATACTGAAGAAAATAATACCTTAAAAAAATAGCCTAACCCAAATGGCAAAAGAGGTCCAAAAAGCCAATGAGGAAAAGAATGCCCTAAAAAGCAAAATTGGCCAAATGGAAAAGGAAGTCCAAAAGCTTACTGAAGAAAACACTTCCTTAAAAATTAGAACGGCGCAATTGGAAGCTAGTGACTTTATGAGAAATTAAGGCACTGTAAAACTAATCCAAAAGAATGAAAAAATAGAAGAGAATGTGAAATATCTTGTTGGAAAAACAACTGACCTAGAAAATAAATCCAGGAGAGAGAATTTTAAAATTATTGGACTATCTGAAAGCCAAAATCAAAAAAAAAAGAGCCTAGACATCATCTTTCAAGAAATTATCAAGGAAAACTGCCTTAATATTTTAGAACCAGAGGGAAAAATAGAAATTGAAAGAATCCACTGATCACCTCCTGAAAGAGATCCCCCAAGGAAAACTCCTAAGAATATTGCAGCCGAATTCCAGAGTTCCCAGTTCAAGGAGAAAATATTGCAAGCAGCCAGAAAGAAACAATTCAAGTATTGTGGAAACACAATCAGGATGACACAAGATTAGCAGCTTCTACATTAGGGGACCAGAGGGCATGGAATATAATATTCCAGAGGGCAAAGGAGATAGGATTACAACCAAGAATCACCTACCCAGCAAAACTCAGTATCATCCTTCAGGGGAAAAAATGGTCATTCAGTGAAATAGGGGACTTTAAGCATTCTTGAGGAAAAGGCCAGAGCTGAATAGAAAATTTGACTTTCAAATACAAGACTCAAGTGAAACATGAAGAGATAAACAGGAAAGAGAAATCATAAGAGACTTATTAAGGTTGAACTGTTTACATTCCTGCATGGAAAGATGGTATTTGTAACTCATGAGTCCTTTGTCAGTGTTAGGGTAGTGGGAGGGAAAACAATTATATGGATAGATAGATAGATAGATAGATAGATAGATAGATAGATAGATAGAGGGCACAGGGTGAGTTGAAGATGAAGCGGTGATATCTGGAAAATAAAATTGAGGGGTGAGAGAGGATTATACTGGGAGAAGGAGAAAGGGAGAGGTAGAATGGGGTAAATTATCTCACATGAAACAGACAAGAAAAGGCTTTTACAGTGGAGGGGGGAAGGTGAGAGGGAATGAGTGAATCTTATTCTGATAAGATCTGGCTTAAGGAGGGAATAACACGTATAACTGGGTATGGAAATCTATCTTACCCTACAGAAATAGGGGGGAAGGGGACAAGAGAGCAGGGGGATGATAGAGGGGAGGGCAGATTGGGGGAGAGGGTAATCAGAAGCAAACACTTCTGAGGAGGGACAGGATCAAAAGAGAGAATAGAATAAATGGGAGATAGGATAGGATGAAGGGAAATATACTTAGTTTTTCACAATATGACTACTATGGAAGTGTTTTGCATGACTATACAACTATAACCTGTATCAAGTTGCTTGCTTTTCAATGAGGGTGGGTGGGGAGTGAGGAAGGGAGAAAATTTGTAACCCAAAGTTTTAAGAACATATGTTTAAAAAATTGTTTATTAAAAAAAGAATTAAAAAAAATTTACCCACATCTGAAACCTCAAAGGGTAATATGAACTGTTCTCAAGCCCAAAAAGCCTTCTTGGAAGAGCTCAAGAAGGATTTAAAAAGTCAAATAAGAGAGGTAGAAGAAAAATTGGGAAAGGAAATGAGAGGTATGCAAGAGAGAGTCAATAGCTTAGAAAAGGAAGAACAAAAATTGACTGTAGAAAACAAGTCCTTAAAAAATACAATTGGCCAAATGGAAAAAAAGTACACTGAAGAAAACAACTCCTTAAAAAGTGGAATTGGGCAAATGGAAAAGGAGGTACAAAAGCTAACTGAAGAAAACAATTCATTAAAAATTAGAATTGGGCAAGTGGAAGCTAATGACTCTATGAGAGAGCAAGAATCTGTTAAACAAAATCAAAAGAATGAAAAAATCAAAGAAACTGTAAAACACCTCATTGGAAAACAACTAACTTGGAAAATAGATCCAGCAGAGATAATTTAAGAATTATTGGTTGACCTGAAAGCCATGATGAAGAAAGAGCCTGTACAGCATCTTCCAAGAAATCATCAAGGAAAACTGCCCCGAGGTCCTAGAACCAGAGGGTAAAATAGACATCAAAAGAATCCACCAATCACTTCCTGAAAGAGATCGCAAATTGAAAATGCCAAGGAATATTATAGCCAAATTCCAGAATTATCAGGTCAAGGAGAAAATACTGCAAGCAGCCAGAAAGAAACAATTTAAATATCATGGAACCACAGTCAGGATTACACAGGACCTTGCAGCTTCTACATTAAAATATCAGAGAGATTGGAGTATGATATTACATAAGGCAAAGGAGCTTGGATTACAACCAAGGATCAACTACTCAGCAAAATTGAGCATAATCTTTCAGGCAAGGAGATGGACATTCAATGAAATACGGGACTTCCAGACCTTCCTGATGAAAAGACCAAAGCTCACTGGAAAATTTCATCTTCAAATATGAGACTCAAGAGAGGCATAAAAAGGTAAACAAGAAAGAAAAAAAAACGTTATTCAATAAGGGCAAACTGTTTACATCCCTACATGAGAAGATGATACTTGTAACTCTTAAGAACTATATCTTTATTACAACATTTGGAAGGGATATACGTAGTCAGAGGGTGTGGGTATAAATTGACTTTAAAGTCATGATAAAAAACCTAATTAAGGAGCGAAAAGGGGGGGCAGCTAGGTGGCACAGTGGATAGAACACTGGCCCTGAAATCAGGAGGACCTAAGTTCAAATCCGGCCTCAGACCAAACACTTGACACTTACTAGTTGTGTGACCCTGGGCAAGTCACTTAACCCCAATTGCCTTGCAAAAAATAAATAAACAAACAAACAAATAAATAAATAAACGACTAAATAAATAGTGAAAAGGGATTGTAATGGGAGAAGAGGAAAGGAGGAGACAGAAAAGGGTAAATTACATCACACAAAGAGGCACAAAAACATTACAGTAGAGGGAAAGAAGGGAGGAAGATAAGCATTGTTTGAACCTTACTCTCATCACATTTGGCTTAAGGATGGAATAACATACTCAGGTATAGAAATCTAACTTGCCCTACAGGCAGCAGGAGGAGAAAGGGGAAAGAAAAGGGAGCGGTGGTTAGAAGGGAGGGAAGAATTAGTAAGGGAAAAGGGAAAG